AGTGCAAAGTGATATAAATAAAATAAAAAGCTTTCATTAATTCGAGTTAATATACAAAAGGTAACACATGCGATATACATTCATAAATCATTCATCCTGAATCTACAGCATGTGTTACAAGAAGCAATAAGGTATAAAAGCTAAACAGATCTTCATATACCCTAAAGGCTTATATCTTTCCAAGATCATGCTTGGTTCCAACAAAAATGAGTCATAAGGTCAATACAAATAAAGCCCTAGGCTTGCACAAAAGATAAATACAAAGTAAACAAAAGTGAGCCTTCAACTTCACAATCCTCCCAAGCTAAGTCCTTGACGGAGGCATATTACCAGTACCTGAAAATGTTTTTCCCAAGTAGGGTGAGCCAAAGTCCAGTAGAAACAATCTAACACAATATATGATTCTTAACAAAGATATAAGTATGATATGCATAAACGATGCCCATGATAAAATCATTCGTATTCTTACAAGATCATAATATGCCAAGTTTCATATTTCTAGCCATTTTATCTTAATTCATTTTATGACAATTCATTTCACCTCAGTCCATGAGGCAAGTCCATTGTTATCCAGACAACCCAACTAAGGCTACAACTTAATGGTTCTCTAACCAATACAATCATTACATAAACACTTTAAAATTTTCATTTTACAGAAATTTTGTCCGTGGGGTCAGCACCCATGTATACACGCGGTTTTTGGGACTTTCACCTGGACACATAGGCCAACTTAATTCAATAGAGTTCATCCATTTTCTTCTCCCAAACATGGAGTACATCCCCTTTCTCCTCTCAACATCATACATATACAATGTATTTAAAACACAGTCATATTCAATGACAACAAATAAGAGATTAATTCCAGTTCACCTAATCCTTATGCAATTTCTACAACAATCAAAACTATCCTCCACCGATAGCCCAAAACAGATATTTCTAAATAGATATACAATCTCCAAAACAGATAAATTATCTAAATTTTCATAGGTGAGAGATAATACACATCCAACTCCACTATTTATATAAACATTCATCTAATTTCACATTCCCAATACTAATTTCATTATTTATACAAAATAATTATTTGAAATATTTTAGGGCAAAACTTTATTTTCTTCCAAATCCAACTCATGTGTCAAAATCATCAAATTTAACACAACACATCCTCATATCTATACCTATAACCATTTTCAATACCTTCATTTGAAAACCCCCCTTCAGATTTTAAACCAAAACCCTAGGTTTGTCTAAAATCCTCCAATCCCAACATTATTTACACAATCAACAAATAAGTAAGTTTAAAAGTCATAGGAGAGTGTAGAAAGTCCCTACCTCGAAGTTAGAAGACGAGAAAAGCAAGGAGATGACTTCAAAGAAGCTGAAACCAACTTTTGTTCGGATCAAAATGGAGCTCTTGAGATACTCTACCTTTTTCCCAAAGACACTATGGTAGAAAAACCAACGCATCTAGGTGAAAATGTAGAGAGAATGTGTCTTCTAGAGAGTGAAGCTCAAGATCTAGGGTTTTGAAATGTTTTAGAGAGAGAAAGAGATGAAAAAGTGATGTAAAAAGTAGCTATTATGAACTGAAATATGCACAGTCTGCTTGAGCATAAGAGTTAGCGCTCGAGCGTCAAACACAATAAGTTGTTCCACTCGAGCGTAGGAAGTGACGCTCAAGCACAGAATGCATACTCCCAGTAGTTTTGCAGATGACAGACCAACGCTCGAGCGTAAGAAGGGCCGCTCGAGTGCATAAGGAACCGCTTGAGCGTAGAATACACTCTCCTAGTACTTTTGCTGACCTGCAAAAGTACTGAGGGTTCACAAAGCCTACTTGAGCTCAAAAAGTACCGCTCGCGCAGAGGGGCAAAATTATGGGCAACAAAAGTTTGAAAACTAAGCAACCAACCTGTCCCAAACGCAAACAGAACAATCTAATAGCCAAATTTAAAGAAATACAAGGGAAGCAAGATATGAACAACAATCTGGAACCATAAAACCCGAGTCCAGAATATAACAAGGGTTGGGTCAAAACCGAAATCGCTATATTGATTGGATGGTTAACTAAAAAGAAGAGATATATTAATAATCTCCACAAGAACACCAATGAACCAAATCTGGACTTGGATGGTAAACAAAAAATAAGAGATATCCTGACCAGAATCAAATTCAAGAGGCACAAGATATACCTAGACCAACCTGACACTATATTCTTTTTATGTTTGGATTTCAATACGGTCGTTTTGCTTCTAATCATGAACGAAAGAGCCAAGGTTCTAATATTCACAACCCACTTCACAAGCCATCATAAGAAAGTTTACAGATAAACAATCTAACTTCGAATTCAATAATATATAATGCTAACTAAGAGTAATATTCACACAGATTCCAAGACTTTCCACGAACCAACAGCATTTTCATATTCAATTAAAAAAATTAAAAATCCAGTAAATTTGCGAAACATAATGTGACACATATGTAAATATTGAATACAACAACGTCACAGCACAAATTCAAAGACAAATACAACCGAACGTAACACACAAAAAACATGACAACATTGCAAATGTAGGTTAACATTACAACCTAAATATAACGTCATTAGAGGGTAATGAAAGTGTGCCAATGGATGCTTGTACCATTTTTCATAAATCAGCAACATTTTCACATTCAAATAAAAAATTAATAACCTAGTACTTTTGCAAAACGTAATGTGGCACGTATGTAAACATTGAATACAACAACGATGCGGCACAAATCCAAAAACAAATACAACCGAACGTAATACACACAAGACATAACAACATTATAGATGTGTGTTAACATTACAATCTAAATGTAACGTCATTGGAGGCTACTAAAAGTGTGCCAATGGATGGCTGTAACAGATTGTGAAAGCCATATTAGATAATATGCCATTGAAAAAAGAACAATCGGCAAACACACAACAACAACACTCAGCAATTGTAGAAGTGAAAAATCTTACCTCCTTCCCTCAAACACTTGGAGTCCAAATCAACAAAAGCAAATAACACAACCCCTAACCTTGACGACAACATCACCCATATCTTACATCCAAACCAGCAACATTTTCGAAATCCACCGAAATCCACAATCAATGCGGCATTCACTTCCATGGACGAAGCCTACACAATCCACTTTCCTAAAAGTCTCCAAAAACTTAATACATTGAATGATAGAATAACTTATAATTTGGAAACATATAAAAGGTATAATAGTACATTAATACCATTTACTCACAATTCATAAAACCTTATGAAACACCTTCCAATCTAAATAAGACTTAAAACTCTATTAAGCAACTATCGACAGGACTTTCCATTAAATAATTTCTCCGATGACTTATAAATAATTTTCCCACCCAAGCCATTGAGACGTTTACAACGGTCAGTATTTTGAAATTCCGTTGAACTAACACATACTACAAGAGCTCTATCTTCACGCCTCTCCCTCTTGCGCGTTTTTTCCCATCCAAAAATAGGCAAAGGCCACATCTCTCTCTCTCTCTCTCTCTCTCTCTCTCTCTCTCCATCAAATCCAAACCCTAATTTTTCCATTGTTCTCATTTCTTCTGGGTCTATTATTTGAGAAACAAATTGAAGAATTTCACTGTAAGTGAATCTCCTTCATTTGTTCTATTCAATTTCATGCAATATAATCCAACACTATCATAAACCACATTATTATGCATATATATATATATATATATATTCCTCCCTCTTGCGCGCTTTTTCCCATCCAAAAATAGGCAAAGGCCACATCTCTCTCTCTCTCTCTCTCTCTCTCTCTCTCTCCATCAAATCCAAACCCTAAATTTTCCATTGTCTCATTTCTTCTGGGTCTATTATTCGAGAAACAAATTGAAGAATATCACTGTAAGTGAATCTCCTTCATTTGTTCTATTCAATTTCATGCAATATAATCCAACACTATCATAAACCACATTATTATGCATATATATATATATATGTATATTCCATCCATGTAATTGAAAGAGACATTGGTTGTGGCTAAAATTGAGAGACACGCCTCTGTCTCCTCCCTCTGGTTGTTTCTCTTTCGGTGCCCGTGGTTAAAATCTAATGCCAAAACCTGGAAATTGATGATTCGTGAAGTTTTTTTTCCAATTACCATTGTCGAATTCATCTTCATCGTGAGCCATTGGTGGGTTCACTGAAAGCTACATTCTTGGGTTTGGTGGTTGCTTTTTTTATTCTAAGTTTGCCTTTCATTTTCGTGGTCGAAGATTTGAATTCATGAGGAGCCCCCATACGCAGATTGATGCTTGCATAATGATCCTGAAAAAATATGAATGTCAAAGTGCTCTTCTTTTTTTCTTTTCTTTCTTTCGTTCTTTCTTTTTTTTTTTTTTTTTTTTTTTTTTTTTTTTCAGTTTTTGTGGTATCATATGACTACATCAATATTCAAATGTATGCGATTGATCTACATTTATAATTGAAGGGTTTCAAACATTGCATCATGGACATTCACTGCAGGAAAATAAAGTTCCTGTAATTTCAAAAACTTCGGAAGAGGTCCCCTGTAATAGCAGAAGAGGTCCATAAAATTTACCCCAAATTTTGAATACAAGAAAACTTCAAAAGTAGAAATTACATTTGAATAAATTTTCCTTAGATATCTAATTATATAGGGCCATTAGTTTAGTGATTAAAATTCAGCCTATAAAACTTTATGCGTTTGAATATGAGGACTAGTTTGTTTGTACAAATAATACTAAAGACAAGTGATTTTTGTATTATAGTAGTGGTGTAACACGCAATGAACATCTTAAGCATTATGTTATATACAACCAAGTACTCATCTGCATTTTATTCAATGTCGATCCATGTTAACAATTTTGACATGGTGTCAAGCTGAAATTTCTTTTCCTAATTAGAGTTGATTTGTTGTCTGAGCAGAACAACTCAGAGCTTATCATGTAATAAAGTTCCAATGACAGTATCTGAATGTTTCAGCTTGCAGTGTAGAGCTTCCCATTTTCAAGTTGAAGTATTTATGGTGAATTGAATTCTTCAGTGGATGCTGATGCTGATGATCTTATGTTGGTTACCTATGCTATTGATTTTACAAAATGTTTGATTGTGGTTATAACCAGAGAGACAAATTTGTAAGGTATGAAATGTTCTATATGTACTATGACCGTTTAACATCTCTCTCTCTCTCTCTCTCTTTTGAGATTTGAATTGTTACTTGGATGAGGTAGGATGTGTGATCGACTTTCGTAATACAATCTCATTTGTATTTTTCTGCTACTGAGTTTTCTGGCCGGGATGTCTCAATCTCTAAAACAAGCAAGCTCTCGATTGTCAAATTTGTTTTTTGTTACTAATACTCAAGTGTATCTTAATAGACTTTGCATAGCAAATATATAATTTTTAAGGGTTTGCCAGAAAGTGTGCATTTCTTTGTTTCTCTTCTTAGGCAGCATGGATGTCACATTTTCCTTCGATTTTGAAGGAACTTAAATTCACAGCATAAAATTCCTAAAGTTGAATGCAAAAAAGTCTTATAATTTATTCCAAGTGTTATAAAATTGCATAAACTAATAATTTTACCTTGCTTCATGAATTTATTATTATTGTTGATGTTGTTGATATTTTTCTAGTAGCATCATGATTAAGTTAAGATATGGATGGCACAATAAATCCAAGATGAAAAGAATAAACCTCTTGAGGAGACTTATTTACTTTGCAAGTTATCAATTTACTTGAGAAAAAGTTGGTCATATATTTTAAGAATGCTAGTTTGTCATTTGGTTATATCAATCAATCCATAAATGAATATGCTTGCTATTTGAGTAACATTTTTTTAATGGTGTGCAACTGATGAATATATCGAAGGATGACTTCTTTATAATATTGCATTTTATTCTTCCCTTTTTTTTTTCCTTTCTGTTTTATCAGAATGTTTTTAGTGAATTTTGGCATCTAATTTTGTTTGTTCTGACACTCGTTTCAATTGTAGGTTGGATGATTTGGATTCCAGATTATCATTTTCATCTGATACGGGGGGGATGAAGCGATGCGGATTTAGCATAGAGGGGCTGACCAAATCTGCTCATTCGAAGCATAATGCGTCAAAGTCAATTAAGGTAGGAGTGAAGAAAGGATCTGAAGGACTTATGACATTTGGGCGCTCACTAAGAACTGGAGTTAGCCGGGCAGTTTTCCCAGAAGATCTAAAAGTGTCGGAAAAGAAGATTTTTGATCCTCAAGACAAGTCTCTCGTATTTTGGAACAAACTTTTGGTCATATCGTGTATTCTTGCAGTGTCGGTGGATCCTTTGTTTTTTTATCTTCCTGTTTTCAATCTTCAAGAAAGTTGCCTTGGTATAGACACAAATTTAGCATATACAGTTACAACTTTGCGATCATGCATAGATGCTTTCTACCTCATACGCATGGGTCTCCAATTTCGGACAGCTTATATTGCACCATCATCTAGGGTTTTCGGACGAGGTGAACTTGTAATAGATCCAGCAGAAATAGCAACAAGATATTTACAACGTTATTTTGTCATTGATCTTCTGTCTGTGCTACCTTTACCACAGGTTTGATGATCATGCTTCCATTGTTTGCTTATAAAGATTATTTGCATGCATACGTATATGAATTTGCTTGAGTATATATGGCTTAGCTGGGGAATTTTTGTATATATATACATGTTAGAGACATGGATCAAATTACAAAAGACGGGAAATATGACAATTTTTTTTTTTTTTAAAATCTTTGAAAACTCTTTCAAGCCAATTCTGAACTGCATCTGTAGACTGCCATATTGGACAGTCAAAGGTTCACTAGGATACATTTTCAGATTGAATTATATGAAGTTGTTAAATTGTATTTATAGTAAGTAAATGATTAATTATACCTTAGGCTTAAATGATAAACTTCTTAAAAGTAGATAGATATCTATTTTTTATGTCACAATTTATCTGTTAAATCTATGATAGGGATCCCAAAAGTTTCGTGTTGTTCTTACTTCTAATTGCTCATTGTGTGCAGATCGTAGTGTGGAAGTTTATTCGGCAACAAAGAGGTTCAGATATCTTGGGTACAAAACAGGCACTACTGTTCATCGTCTTCCTTCAGTATATACCTAGGTTTCTTCGGATTCTCCCATTAAGTTCAGAGCTCAAAAAGTCTGCTGGTGTCTTCGCTGAGACTGCTTGGGCAGGTGCTGCATACTATTTGTTGTGGTTCATGCTTGCTAGTCATGTAAGTAAGCTATACAATTGTGGGGTTTTTTCTTCTTCTTAGTTTCCTATGTATATGCTCTCCTGAATTTCAGGCCTATTTTAGTATAGATGTGTGTTGAGAAATTATAAGATACGATTATGTCAAATAAAACAAATTCCAAAGTGGTGTTACATGGAAAAAAAAGTTGAGAATGTGGTGGAAATAGAAAGGAGCATACCGAGAATGCTTCATGTACTTCAGGCTGAAGACTAGGCTTTCCACAAATTCGCTTTCCTAAATGTAGTGATTTGCCTGAAATCTGCCTTAGGTCAAAAAAAAGTACTGAGTTTTTCTCGTGTTTCCAATCACACATTGTTACCCCAAATCACGAATTCAAGCTCTTTTTTGACTATTGGCAGTCTGATTGCCCTTAGAACTCCTTAGCTACCTGTTTTACATCTTTAACAGGTGCCATGATCACTAGGGTATTAGTGTTTTTTGGTAACACCTAATGTAACTTGAGTGTTATTTTAAGTGGTGTATTGAAATCGCATATTAATGATTACTTGTATTTTTTCAGATAGTTGGGGCTTTCTGGTACCTATTCGCTGTGGAACGTAATGATACATGCTGGGAAAAAGCTTGTCTAAAAAGTGGAAAATGTGATATAAAGTTCTTGTATTGCCAAAATGATGAAAAGGAAGGTTACAATGAGTGGAAAAGCATCAGCCATGATCTTCTTGATGAACAATGTTCAGTTAATCAGGACGATCCACCATTTAAATATGGCATCTATGCACTAGCTTTATCATCTGGAATCGTCGCATCTCAAGATTTCTTCTCTAAGTACTGTTATTGTTTGTGGTGGGGTCTACAGAATTTGAGGTAAGCCACCGTTTCGATTCTCACCTCGTAGTAACATATAATGTCTTATGTTCAATCATCCAGCAACGAAAATGCTTCTTTTTATGGGCTTAGATTAGTTAATTGCATCTTTCTCTACACCTTTTTTTCTTTCTTTCTTTCTTTTGCATTGGGAAACTTATTTCTCCTTTATTTTTTTTGTTTTTTTTTTATTTTTTTAATTTTTTTATGGCAAATATTCAAGATTTGATCGTAACTTCCTAAGTCTCTATCTATCCATTGTCTTCCTTTTTCATGTATGCTATGTAAGTATGGTCAGTGGTGCTAAGTTGGTCAGTGCATTTGATTTTCGATATCCTAGTTAGTATAACTAGTTTTTTCATTTCACTTTTTCGCAGTACACTTGGTCAGGGGCTCGAAACCAGTACTTACCCTGCAGAGGTTCTCTTTTCCATAGCCATTGCCATATTTGGGCTCATCCTCTTTGCTCTTCTGATTGGGAACATGCAGGTACACGCAAAACTGAGTTTTCGGGGATTCGTAGATGTTGATTTGTGTTGGAATTCACTTGGTGGTGTTTTAATTTGCTTTACTAGTTTGTAGAAACCATGGAGGAACTTTTTGCTTAAAATTAAAATTGCCATTAAGTTATTTTCTTGTGTATGAATCCAAATGATCTCTAGCTTTCATACAATTTCTAAGAAATCATTACATAGTTAAAAATTTTATATTCTTTGAAGTGGACCAGAAGTATTTTCTCTTGTACTTGTATGACTTTAGTTAACTCCAGGGCTGGCCTTAACATATAGCCAACAAAGCAAAGGTCTGGACCGACAAGATAAGAATAGACCAATCTAATGATATCTTTTCTAATCCTAAAAATAAAAAATAAAAAAACTGAATGTTGATTGAGGGACTATACATTATTGATTTCTATATCCCATAACAAACTTTAGGTTCTTTGGTTTAAATGAATCAAATGAACTTTCCATTGATCCTATTTGCTCAGCATTTTAAATAGGTAAGTTTGTTCTAAGACTTAAAGCGAAATTTATGTTAATGCCTGAGTTTTGGAATATCTTGTGATTGCAACAGACCTATCTTCAGTCCCTTACGGTTCGGCTTGAGGAGATGAGGATCAAAAGGCGTGACTCCGAGCAGTGGATGCATCATAGGTTGCTCCCTCAAGAGCTTAGAGAAAGAGTTCGGCGCTATGATCAATACAAGTGGTTGGAAACGAGAGGAGTCGATGAAGAGAATCTGGTCCAAAATCTACCAAAAGACCTCAGGAGGGATATCAAGCGCCATCTCTGTTTGAATTTAGTGAGAAGGGTAAGTATTTTAGTTATTTTTTGTTACGTTGGTTACATTTTGTTAATTCATAGCCGTGTTGTCATGTGACTCCCATCGCATCTATCTTGCACTGTGGAGATATGAGTTTTAACCGTGTTGTCAAAATTTGAATATGTTACTTTGTAGTGAATGGAATTTTAGTTTTTAATATGTTACAATGGGGCTTTCAGGTTCCACTATTTGCAAATATGGATGAACGGTTGTTGGATGCCATTTGTGAACGATTGAAACCAAGTTTGTACACAGAAAATACCTACGTGCTTCGGGAAGGTGACCCAGTTGACGAAATGCTATTCATTATTCGTGGCCGCCTAGAGAGCGTGACTACAGATGGTGGGAGGAGCGGGTTTTTCAACCGGGGTTTCTTGAAAGAAGGCGATTTTTGTGGGGAGGAGCTCCTAACGTGGGCGTTGGATCCTAAATCCGGTTCTAACTTGCCACCGTCTACTCGAACAGTGAAGGCTTTGACAGAGGTCGAGGCTTTTGCACTAATAGCAGATGAGCTGAAATTCATCACAATTCAGTTTCGACGCATTCACAGTAGACAGGTCCAGCATACGTTTCGATTCTACTCACAGCAGTGGAGGACATGGGCTGCCTCGTTTATCCAAGCTGCATGGCGTCGGTATTCTAGGAGGAAAATGGCGGAGCTTCGTCGCAGTGAAGAAGAAGCTGAAGAAATGGAAGATGAAGACGACAACGAAGAAAGTGAATTAATAGGGGAAGAAGCTGCATCGAGCTTTGGTGCAACCATACTTGCATCACGGTTTGCAGCGAATGCTCTTCGTGGGGTTCATAGGCTTCGTGGCTCGGCAAGTGCCAGGTTGTCATTGCCTAAGCCTCCAGAACCTGATTTTGCTGCCGATATTGCAGATGATTAATCTCGGTCTTCACATAGTAGGTGACAACATGCTGCTTACTTGTTCATGCTATGTCATTCCTAATTGTAAAATTATGTGTTTAGTTGTAATGTTTTTGTTTTTCTATTTTCTTGCTGGAAGACTTTAAGACCATATGTTACAGTCCTCAAATGTGATTTTTTTTTTTTTTTTTTTTTTACTAGATAGGGGGGGCCTCAAATGTGTTTTGAATGTGTAAATTTTGAAGTTTAGTATTGTGTATATATGAATCCTATCAACTTCCAATTTGCTCTCAATTTGGTTGAGGCTTGGTTGGTTGAGTAACATCTCACAACTTTTTTGCTATTCATACATTGTTGATCAACTAATAACTACTAAAAAGCCTAAATTTCCTACTACTGAAATACAAAATACTTTTGTAGATAGAATATTTTTGGAGTAGTGCTACTTTAACCCATTTGTATTGGCCATATGTTATTTAGTCCAACATTTAATCTTCTTGTGACGATAAGGACACACGTTGAAAAGTCGTTGATATCAAAAAAATCGCCGACAAAGACAACTATACTGGCCGTGAGATGGACATATAAGTCACATTGAACAGATATGTGACACGTGTACAGAAAATAAGACATTTGAATAGAGAGTTGGAAAGGTAACATGTGAATAGATAGATGACATTTAAATAGATAAATGACATCTGAACATATAGACAACTAAGTTTTGAACAAATAAGTGTCATTTTAGACAAATAATGTCATTCTGCTCCAAAAATATTTAAGTTTGGATCTATTGAATCTAAGAATTTCAGAAATTGACCTCTGGCCTAAGTTCCTTTTCTTTTTTTTTTTTAAATTGTGTTTTATTATCACAAGTTTTATTTCATTACTTTATTTTACCTCTAGTGTATTCATACAATTAAAATTATGGGTATGTTTAGGACCCAAACAAATAACAAATTATGGGTATGTTTAGGACCCAAACAAATAACAAATGAGACACATTATGCTAAGAAGTAAAAAAAGATTATTAATTATTTTAATGATATAATTATTCTTTAAGTTTAAACAAATCAATTTTTGGCAAGTTAGCACAACAACAATGAGCTCTATTTGATTTGTTTTACAAAGCAAATGGGAGTCAAACTCTAGCGAGGCTATTAACAATAGGAAAAATTACAAGAAAATTAGAAGTAGAAAAATTATGGGCTGAGCTTCCCATCCCTCGATGGTGCTATTCCGGTTTATGGGCACATAACAAATTCTATTTTGATAATTTGAATTATTTATTTTATAAAGTTCTTTATGTGTATTTTTTACATAAAAAATTAGATCGATTCGATAATGATAACTTATTCAATTTATCACATTTATATTTAAAAAATAAATGATAAATGGAGTTTTAAAAGTAACTCATTTATGTTTTGTTGACAAATTCAATAAATTGACGTTTTCGGTTTTTGAATTAATTTAATTTTTTTATAAGTGATACATGTAAAAAAATTATAAAATAAATAATTCATGAAAGGCCCAAAAATTATCTACTTAAAGGTGTGAGGTGAAACTTTAAATAATTGGCAACAAATTCACATAAGACAATTTTGGGTCAGCTCAGCTACTGACTTACTACAAGCTCAAAGTACAAACCATGAGTCCATGAGAGACCACTTTTGATAACCAACAATGGCACTTCTCACCATTGCCAGGAGGCTCCAAAGAACACATCTCAAACACTCATTACCCTCTCTCCTCCACGTATCACTTGCTCAACCACCACTTCCATCTTCACCCTCTTCGAATCAATTCTCTCAGACATATTATCAAACACAACTCGTTCTCTCTCGTCCCTTCCCCCAAAACCCCCATTTCTCTACCCTCCAACCCTCCCATCATCAAAATCTCCATGAAACAATCGATTTCAGTGAATCTATCGATGAAGCCCATCAAAATAACCAATTGGGTGTCCGTGAATTGGTCGAAGCACTCAAAAATGCTGACCAGTTTTCCTCTGAAGGGGAAGCGATTGAGTTTCTTGACGAGAATGGTGTGTGAGTGTGGAACTAGATTTTGAAAACTCCACCAAACGGAGCCTAAATAATTGGCAACAAATTCACATAAGACAATTTTGGGTTAGCTCAGCTACTGACTTACTACAAGCTCAAAGTACAAACCATGAGTCCATGAGAGACCACTTTTGAGAACCAACAATGGCACTTGTCACCATTGCCAGGAGGCTCCAAAGAACACATCTCAAACACTCATTACCCTCTCTCCTCCACTCATCACTTGCTCAACCACCACTTCCATCTTCACCCTCTTCGAATCAATTCTCTCAGACATTTTATCAAACACAACTCGTTCTCTCTCGTCCCTTCCCCCAAAACCCCTATTTCTCTACCCTCCAACCCTCCCATCATCAAAATCTCCATGAAACGATCGATTTCAGTGAATCTATCGATGAAGCCCATCAAAATAACCAATTGGGTGTCCGTGAATTGGTCGAAGCACTCAAAAATGCTGACCAGTTTTCCTCTGAAGGGGAAGCGATTGAGTTTCTTGACGAGAATGGTGTCGAACCGAACGAAGATTTGGTTTATTGGGCGGTTTGGGCATTGAGAGATGAATGGGAATTGGCGTTTGTGGTTTTCAAATGGGGTGAGAAATGGGGTTGTTTGGGTGAAAAGAATTGGACTTTGATGATTTGGGTTTTGGGCAGCCACAAAAAGTTCAGTACTGCTTGGTGCTTGGTTCGAGACTTGTATCGGTCTTCTTCTGTGGATACTCGAAGGCCAATGCTTGTTTTGATTGATAGGTATGATATTTATTCTATCATGATTTCAGTTTAATTCTGAAGTATTTGTAGTTTGAACAATCTGTTATTATCTGATCTTTGAATTCATTTCTGGATTGGAATGCTTCCATGTGTTTGGATTCATATGGCTTGTAAACTATATATTTTGGATTCACAAAGCTGATCTGAAGATGTGTTTTTGTTATTTTCCCATCATAATTCCTAGAAGGTGCTTATGTTGTGCTCTAAACTAATCACGTAGCAATAGGTAGACCTGACAAAAGATTACTCATTTAGTGTGTTTGTGGCTGTTTCTCATTGGCCGAGAGTATCAGGTAGACAATGTCACTTCCCCGGTGAAAATGGGATAGACTAGGTTTTCACTTCGTTCCCAAATGTAGCTTTCTAACCACAGTTCTTTCATTTGATATTGTACCCTCATGGACCTTTTTTTTGTTATTTTTCTATTACCTTTTTTTTAATTCAAAAAAAGTTGTAATTCTGTTGTGCTTCAAAAATAAGATTGGCTCTCCCTTAATTCGATGGTCACTATCTCGCGCAGTACTCACGATATAGCATGTGAGCATGGATCTTATTGCACATTTTTCTTTGGGATTTATAGGAAACTTGGTTCTTTTTTCTGGTTAATAGTACTTGTTGCTGGGAATTTTGATAGACAAAGAAGGTTGAATTATTTTTTGTTCTTTTCTATTGGAGATAGTGCTAGGCCTCTGGGATTTGAACGGAACACTTTTTTTAGGTTTCACAACACTTCTCAACTTGTGGTTTTCTGAGTCTCATTTTCACAAATAAGCATAAGATTTTAAATATAGTTCTTATTTTGTTACTATTTTTTGTTTTAATAGATTCACAGCTGCAAATGACCCAGGCAAGGCTATACAAACATTCCAAATAATGGAAAAGTTCAGAATGACTCCTGATCTGAAAGCATTCCACACACTCTTGAATGCTCTCTGTAAACATGGAAACATAGAAGAAGCTGAAGAGTTTATGCTCCTTAATAAAAAGTTCTTCCCATTGGAAACCGAGAGCTTCAACATAATTCTAAATGGTTGGTGTAATATATCGGTTGATGTATTTGAAGCAAAGAGAATATGGAGAGAAATGTCCAGATGCTGTATTACGCCAGATGCAACTTCTTATACACACATGATTTCCTGCTTCTCAAAGGTCGGGAATCTCTTTGACTCACTGAGATTGTATGATGAAATGAAGAAAAGGGGTTGGGTCCCTGGCATTGAAGTGTACAACTCTTTGATTTATATACTTGCTCGTGAGAATTGCCTGAAGGAAGCTCTTAAAATTTTGAACAAAATGAAAGAAGCAGGCGTGCAACCGAATTCTGCCTCTTACAACTCCATGATATGCCCTCTATGTGAAGCAACAAAGCTAGACGAGGCAAGGACTATATTGGCCACCATGGTAGGTGAGAATGTCAGGCCAACTATTGAGACATATCATGCATTTCTTGAGGGTGCAAGTGTGGATGGAACTTTGGAAGTTCTTAACCATATGAAGAAAGCCAGTCTTGGTCCAAACCCGAATACCTTTCTTCTGATTTTTGGTAAGTTCTTCAAATTGAAGCAACCTGAAAATGCACTGAGAATTTGGGTGGAAATGATGACTTATGGTATAGTGCCTGATTCTGCACATTATGCTTTATTAGTGGAAGGACTGGCAACATGTGGGTTGTTGATCAAGGCTAGAGAACTTTATGCTGAGATGAGATTGAATGGCATTTTAGATGACCCAAAGCTTAAGAAGCTCTTGAAGAAACCAGCGCAACATAGTAGTCATCAAAGGGAAGAACCAATGACAGTTGTGAGAAACATTAAGAAAGGTACCCAGGTACATCCTTGGAAGAGGAGTGTTGTCATGAGAAGAAAAAAGCATGGTAAGCAGCCAAGAAAGACAACAAGTGTAACTTAAAACTTTTGACAAAATATTTTGAAGATGGAATGATTTATCTGTTGCAAGCTTGAAATTGGGAGCTTTGCTAATGCCAGATAGGTAATTGGACCATTTATTGGCATAGCCCTGGAGCGAGCTGCACTCCAGAACCGTATTGCTGCAACTACAAACAGGCTATTCAATTAGTCAGTTTGCTTGTAGCCATTCAGAATTATCTTGATTTTCAAGTATGACTGCCCAGATCTTGGCAATTGTGTAATCAAGATGTCTAAATTAAACAACTTCAATTAGAGATTTTTTGTGGTGATAATCTGAAGGAACACCACTGGGATTTGATTGAAAGTTTTTTATTTAGCGGATGCCCTATTTGAAATGAAAGGGCCATAAGAGGCTAGATCAATCTTTATGAAAATTTTGTACAAATTTGTATTGCTTTACCCCTCTTAAATAGGGCATGTGAAAATGAACAGTATCATTCTATTCTATGCACATATATGTAAAACTAATTTGAATGATGGGAGGCTTCTGTATTAGCATAATCTGATTTACATTACAACACCACAATATCCACAGTACACACACCTTCAGTCCCCAGAAACAACTCTTTTTGGATTTAAAAAAACTAAAAAGTCTTCTCTATATTACACTCAAGAAAACCCTGTTAGACATGAAGAAGATAAAGTGATCAAGAGTGTTCTGAAGCTTCCTCCTCCATATTGGTCTTCAATTTTCTCCTTGACCTGCTGAATAATTTGGAAGGTGGAGAGGGAGAGAACTCAAATGGGAGTGGAGGGAGATCCATCTTTCCTCTCAAAACCCTTGCTGTGGTGCAAAAAAAAAACAAAAACAACCAAATGAGTAGAGTGAAGTGGCACTAGAAATACAAAAACAAAATTGGAAAAGAAAAGATCTATTAGATAACCCTTGTTTTTGTTGCTATTGCTTAACTACGCCATGCAGAAGATAACTCCAAACCGACATCTTCTTCCCACCAAGTGGCACTCTGCAATATTATATTCATATCAGATTGCGAATGCTATAGCTTCTGAACTGGGCCACTTTCAAACGGATAATGTCATTGCAAGCGCAAATTTACGCTCTGTTTGTTTCATATAGAAAACATTTTCCTGTGTTTGATTGCAACGCTAGTGGTTGTATTAGTGGTGGTCATGGTGGTAGGTTGGTGGAGGTAGTTGGAGTAGTATAGGTGGTAGTGGTGGTGGGGTGGTATTGTGGTGGCATTGGTAAAACTTAGTTTGGAAAATATTTTCCACCTCTCAAATGTTGAAAACACTATCCATAAAAAAAGCTTATTTTTCGTTGGCCATGGAAATATTTTCCATCGACTTTTGTTTTCTATCATACCAAATGCCAAAAAAAAAACCAAAATCCAAAAAACATTTTCTGCCAAAACAAACAGAGTGTTAAAAGGGAAATTGAAAATGCTATGTCAATACAAAAAAGAGTTGCCACAGAAATAAGTACACATTTGACCTTGTAGCCTCTTCGAAGAAATTCAAGTGAGCTTCCTTGTTCCTCCTGCAGTCCCAAGACCCTCAACAATTCTTCCTTGGTCTGAGACACGCCCAAATATTAGTATATATTCACACCTACCGAGTAAACCAATAAACGGGTGCAAATGGAGTTGCAAGGGTAAGATGTATATTTACTTCACCCAGTGTGAAGCGAGTTGCACTCTCTGCCACGCAAGCATAAGAACCATCTGCTTGTTTCAGCATCACCTGCCAAGGCCCTGCCACCAAAAAAATAAGAAAAAGAAAAGAAAAGAAAGGGCCGAGTAAGGCAAAGGAGCATGTGGTTCCAAGTTGGGCATCCCAGTAGCTGTAATTGGCCATTGATTGATGACATAGAAATGGTGAACTTCTTCCAAAAAAGGAAAACAAAACCTATAAGGTAAAAGCACGCAATGCACATAAACAAGAAAGGCATCTTCACAGAATCCCAGCTATAAATAGTTCTTATAAGATCTAAAAACTGAACCAGTATTTCTTATTAAAATAGGACATTGTAGGAATTAAAAAGCAAAAAGAAAAAAATTACCTAAACTACCAAGATTAATCTTCTTCCTCCCTTTTTCCTTCTCTCTCCTTATCACTATTTCATTAGATTTATGGAAATAGACAATTTCAAGTCCATCTAATTGATGCAAACAGTTTAATTTCATTTTTTTTGTTGTTGTTGTTGTTGTTGTCGGCAATGAAGTTACACCAAGTGTGCCCACCAACCCCAAAAACAAATAAATCCCCAGAACAGAATCAGTTTGATAGTTCCAACCCTAAAAGAATATGTTTCTCACCAGGATATTGGCGGAACAGTGCTCCACTATAATTCAATACAAAAGGTGCCACTGCAACTGTCTTCCATGTTAAATAACAAAATCTTATTCAGAAATGGGATGAAAGGTCAACATAAATAAGTAAACAAAACTGAATGCAAAGAATAGATACCTTAGAATACTCTCTTGTTCGAATATAGAACACCGGGGTAAATTGGGAAAGAAATCGATAATGTAAATCTTTGGTTGGAAATCCAAGCAGTCCCAAGTCAGAACTACAAATTTCGTACTTTTATCATCAAAGAAAATCAACTCAATGAAAACAATTTTATCTATAAGAAGCTAGCAACCCATTAAGCATACCGCAATGTATCAAGTTCCAGATTAAAAAGAAGGGCAGGGGTTGATGTAGCAAATTTTTCCTGCACATTCCAAAGAAGGTCATGGTAGGAAAGGAATCAACTGAAACTTTCATGGATGCACATAAACAATCATTGGTAATATGAAAGGTATTGGCAATGGTGGCAAAAGTATCTATGAATGTATGAAATTAGCTGCTAGCCAAGCAATTAAACTTTATTCTCTATCTTACCCAAACAATATCAAAATCAAAACCCAGGGTACAAAAGGACACGCACTTAAGTTTTTGCTTACATAGAGATCTATATTCCTCCATATTTGATTTTAACGAAGTTTCAAAATCATGTAAAATTACACATAAAGATGGTGGAGGTCCAACAATTGTGTTTCTTTAAATAGTTATAGGTGCATATGTTCAAAAGAAAGGAACAAAATAAGCAAAATATACCACTTCCCCGCACACATTAATATGTAGGAAATTAAAAAGAATATGTAATATTCCAGTACATGATCATTGTTGTTGTAAAATAAATTGATGTATTATTGATTGATGTATTTATTGAATGTTACAATGATTCCTATATATAGAAGAGTAGGTGGTAGTAGGTGGTAGATGGAGTAGGTAAAGTGGAGGTGGTAGGTGGAGTAGGTGAAGTGGAGGTGGTAGTGGTGTAGTGGGTTAGGTTTAGTGGAGTAGGTGAGGTGGTAGTGGTGTAGTGGGTTAGGTTTAGTGGATAAAGTAGGTGATAGGTTTTAACAGCCCCCCGCAAACTCAAGGGGGATAGAAACTAACCAACTTGAGTTTGAAGAGAGTAACAAAACAAGAAAATACATAAAAATAAAAGAGGATAGGAGACACTGTATGGTCGTGTCAGACCGTTGGTGAAGACACTGTATGGTTGGGGCAGACCGTTGTAGTAGATAAAGTCTGGACAGGTGACGAGGTCACACCGGACCGATGTAGAAGCTAACCGAAATCAATGTCGGGACAGTTTACAGAGTCTTGTCGGACCCATGAAGGAGCTAACCGGAATCAATGTCGGGACAGTTTACAGAGTCTTGTCGGACCCCTATAGAAGACAGTTTACGGGGTCATGTCGGACCGATGTAGAAGACAGTTTATGGGGTCATGTCGGACCGATGTAGAAGACAGTTTATGGGGTCATGTCGGACCGGTGTAGAAGACAGTTTACAGGGTCATGTCGGACCGTTGTAAAAGCTAACCGTATGAAGGTGTATAAAGGCTGCCCAAATATATATACATGGATATATAGATCGAGCCCTCAAAAGTCGCGCCCTCAAAAGGCGCGCCCACTTTATCAAAAGATGTGCCCGACAGAAATCATCGAGCGGCGAGCCATCAAAAGGCGCGCCAGACACGCGGCGATGCACGTGACCGACAGAACTCGTGTCGGCCTCTTCGTCAGGGTCTTTATAAACCGAAGCGGAGGCTGAGGCTTAGGCTTGGAAGCATAACAAACCAGTTGAAACCTCTGCATTCTCGGAGAGCTTGTCTCGAAGAGCTGCAAATCTTGAAACACTCTGTAACCAACCCTGTCTGACAGTACCAATCGGTAATCGCTGCTTCTCTGAAACACTTAGCAACCCAAAAACATGGCCTCTTCTTCCCGTGGGCTGCTCACTCTCTTTCCAGACCTCAACGAGTCAACAAGAGAGACAACTGGTGTGGTGGCACTGGAACCTCAACCAAGTGCCCCTAGTTTTGCTCCGTTGAACTTTCCGATACGGTCGGTGGAGCAAAAAATGGCAGTGCAAACGGATATTGAAGCCAATCAGTATACATTGAAGTCATGTGTGGAAACCATAACTGCAGTCACAAACTTGTCGCACCGGCTGCAGAGTAGGACAAATGAGGTGCAGCAGTTAAACGCCCAACTGGCTCTGCTCCAGCGCATGAATAAGGATGCGCGAGCAGAGATAAGTGTGCTAAAGGCATAAGAACCATCTGCTTGTTTCAGCATCACCTGCCAAGGCCCTGCCACCAAAAAAATAAGAAAAAGAAAAGAAAAGAAAGGGCCGAGTAAGGCAAAGGAGCATGTGGTTCCAAGTTGGGCATCCCAGTAGCTGTAATTGGCCATTGATTGACATAGAAATGGTGAACTTCTTCCAAAAAAGGAAAACAAAACCTATAAGGTAAAAGCACGCAATGCACATAAACAAGAAAGGCATCTTCACAGAATCCCAGCTATAAATAGTTCTTATAAGATCTAAAAACTGAACCAGTATTTCTTATTAAAATAGGACATTGTAGGAATTAAAAAGCAAAAAGAAAAAAATTACCTAAACTACCAAGATTAATCTTCTTCCTCCCTTTTTCCTTCTCTCTCCTTATCACTATTTCATTAGATTTATGGAAATAGACAATTTCAAGTCCATCTAATTGATGCAAACAGTTTAATTTCATTTTTTTTGTTGTTGTTGTTGTTGTTGTCGGCAATGAAGTTACACCAAGTGTGCCCACCAACCCCAAAAACAAATAAATCCCCAGAACAGAATCAGTTTGATAGTTCCAACCCTAAAAGAATATGTTTCTCACCAGGATATTGGCGGAACAGTGCTCCACTATAATTCAATACAAAAGGTGCCACTGCAACTGTCTTCCATGTTAAATAACAAAATCTTATTCAGAAATGGGATGAAAGGTCAACATAAATAAGTAAACAAAACTGAATGCAAAGAATAGATACCTTAGAATACTCTCTTGTTCGAATATAGAACACCGGGGTAAATTGGGAAAGAAATCGATAATGTAAATCTTTGGTTGGAAATCCAAGCAGTCCCAAGTCAGAACTACAAATTTCGTACTTTTATCATCAAAGAAAATCAACTCAATGAAAACAATTTTATCTATAAGAAGCTAGCAACCCATTAAGCATACCGCAATGTATCAAGTTCCAGATTAAAAAGAAGGGCAGGGGTTGATGTGGCAAATTTTTCCTGCACATTCAAAAGGTCATGGTAGGAAAGGAATCAACTGAAACTTTCATGGATGCACATAAACAATCATTGGTAATATGAAAGGTATTGGCAATGGTGGCAAAAGTATCTATGAATGTATGAAATTAGCTGCTAGCCAAGCAATTAAACTTTATTCTCTATCTTACCCAAACAATATCAAAATCAAAACCCAGGGTACAAAAGGACACGCACTTAAGTTTTTGCTTACATAGAGATCTATATTCCTCCATATTTGATTTTAACGAGGTTTCAAAATCATGTAAAATTACACATAAAGATGGTGGAGGTCCAACAATTGTGTTTCTTTAAATAGTTATAGGTGCATATGTTCAAAAGAAAGGAACAAAATAAGCAAAATATACCACTTCCCCGCACACATTAATATGTAGGCCAATTTATAAGAATATGTAATATTCCAGTACATGATCATTGTTGTCAAATCAAGAATTGAATCGTGAATCATTTTGCTAAAATAGTGAATCATATCAAATCATGAATCATGAGGTTCGCTTTATTTAGCATAAAATATAATTTTATATATGTATATACGTATAAAAATACAGAGTGTTTAAGATGAAATAAATATCAATATAACTAAATTATATATATATATATATATTTGTGTGTCTATATATACAAATAAAACCACGTATAAATATAATTTATTGATCTCTTTTTCTATTTTGCGAAAATGACATTGTTTCATGCATTATGCAAATATAACTGAATGGCTTGAATAGCAGTGAATCGTAATGAATCATAGTGAATCACAATTGAACCCTAAGATTCACTCATTTAAGATTCAACTGCACGAATCAAATTGTTTTGCTTGAAACTCATATTGGATCGTATGAATCAAATCATGAATCATAAGATTCTAACAACCATGTACATGATCTTGACATAGCATTGTCATGCCTGAGAGTATTAACCCCATTTGGCAAATTTTATTTGTAGCTTGTTTAGCCTCAAAATTGAAATTCCATGCTTAAGCAATTTTACTTTGAAAAGTTAAGGTGTTTGATAAAAAAAAATTTAAGATTTTCATCTTATTTGCTTTTCAAGCTCAAAAAGCTAACTTTTTTAAAGTTGGGTTTGATATGCTTTCTTTGAGCTAGCTTTTCTTAAGATGCAAATAAGTTTTTTCAAATGGGCTCATGGATACTCTTGTGAGATATTCTCTAGATATTATGTACATTCTGTAGATATCGTAGGTATTCTGAAGATATGGTGCAGATATTATTCTGTGTAATATTCTAGGAATTAAGCTTATTTGTTTTTCTGTTGTAGGGTTAGCCTAGGCTGTAAATACTGCTGTAACTCTTTTGTATTACATACACAATTGAACATAAAGTCTTTTTTTTCCTCATAAACTTTCAAGTCTATCCCATAGACTATGAAACAAACTGAAGAAAGATGTAGCATTCTAACTTGAATAGATATAAGTCTGCTAGTGATTTTCAAATGTTCAAACTAGGCATACACTTCTATAACTCAAAAGCCAGAGACATGAAGAGATTAATAAGTGTCACATGAATCCAAAAGAACCATTAAAATGGGGGGAAAGATAGATATACCTTGCATCTTCCAAATGTAACAAATTAGATGTAGTCTGGTGATGACCATTCAATTAAAAAAGTTCATTAAAAAGATACATCAAATATTATTGAATTCTTTCCACGGATTTTCTCAAAATATTAATGCAATATTGAACCTAAGAATGAAGCATATCCAAATGTAATAGAGGATTTGTGTGCAACATGGTTAGTAAATTCATCAAGCAACACACTCATGATTCAGTCATGAATAGTATAAATAAAAATAAAAATAATAAAAGTGAATGAGTGGTATGTTTACTTAACAGCTGACTAGAGATCAAATTTTCAAATTAAAAATTAAAAATAAGGTCAGAGTGAAAGAAAAAGTAACGTACCACATACTTCTCTATAGATGACAGTTCACGTGTGCTGCAGTTAATAAATATATAAAGTGATGGAGGCTCATTAGACTGCCAACGGCCTGCATCCATAAGAATCAGCAAAATGTTTAGACAAAAACCATCAGTGCCATGGACTTACTAAAATCTTCCATGCCACAAAAGTGTGTAGAAGCCATCAAAGCATTGACAATTGTAAGTCCGTTCATGAACCGAAGTTATTTTATGTTTTCAGGCAAACTACAGAAAACTGGAGGTTTCCAAAAAAAAAAAAAAAATCCTCAAGGTTTCTGATTTGATATTGACCTATCCATTAGCATACAAGCTAACAGCACCTCTTCATATACCCTTTCAAGGAGTAATATTTGACTATCTTGCCCTTAGTTTTACTTTAGTCAAGGAAAATCTTGCCCTTAGTTAAGAAGGGCTGAATGAGTAAAAGTAATAAACATTAGCTTGAAAGAAAGAAGATAATGTGAACGTGGTTTTGATAATATTAAACTCAAACATATAAAATTCAAAATTAAATTAGGATTCAAACACTATTGAACAGTAACATTTTTCTAGTATATTCTACACACCACCATATACACGAACGTAATGTGGTTATGTTCCTAGTATAAATTCATGGATCTTATTATCCAACTTATGATCACTAGGAAAGTCAGGTGAGCTGAGTTTTAAATATAACAAACTTTAGGAAATAAGATTTCAGTACCCAAAAGTCTTTTTTGCAGCTCATGGAATTGCTCCTAAGTTGCCAACAAAAGTTCAGTTGTAACTGTTGAGGCTCTCGTGATCAAATAGTCATCACTAATTATTCAGAAGTTGAAGGAACAAGGCTATGACAGACCAGTGATGAATAATTACTCCTCGTAAGAAGCCAAATAATACTATGTTTTACCAGTACAAGAACAAAAATGTGTTGATCATGGGTCTAATCCCAACAGGACCCTCAACAACCAAGAGACCGTGATATGAAAACCACACACACGTTAAGATACAATCTTTTAGAGCATATGAATCATGTAACCGACAAAGGGAAGTGAGTCATAGTTGGGCTACAATCAGCTTGAGCTTAATGGATATCTATTGTTGAGCTATTTTCGGCCTGATTAACAAACCTATGTGTAAGTTTTTTACCTAGTCCCTAATTTCAGTCACAATCCTACTCAAGGTAAATGTCTATCAGCTATACCTATGAACTATTTATATTAAAACAGATAGGCATTAAATATTTGAAAATCTTTTAAAACTCTCTTCGATTTTGTGATGCAATTTTGATGTTAAATAGGATGCTTAAAGGATTCTAGGAATAATTCCTGTACTGTTGCATTTACTTTGAATTCTCTGTGGCTAGAAAGTTTAATTACAACTATCTCCTATTTTCTTTGGATTTTGAACCTGAGAGCCTACTTCTATTACCTCAATCTTTCTGCAATGTTACAACTCTTTTCCAAATACTCAGAAGGCCAAAATTGCTATAGTTGTTGTCCAGTAATTCCAACAATGTTGTTTCAAATTTCTAGATATCAGTTACATTCAAACCTAAGCAATTTCAACCACTTCATATCCATATGATCAACAACCTTTTTCCAACATTAAAACCATAAATATGATCCTTAACCTAAGCCCAACTTAAAAGCTATAATAATCATAGGTAGCCTTATTCATATACCTTTTTTTGTCCTACATCATCATGACTACATGAGCACATACTCATTTCCCAAAAATGTTCCTCATGATTGAGATTTCTTCCAACTACCCAAAGCAATATGGCGCTGTTTGGGAAGTTTGGTTTTTGGTCTCTTTTTTTTTGTTTTTTTTCACTAAAAGACAAATTGGTTACAAAACCAAAAAAAACCAATCCAAACAAAATATCACATCAAACCCCATAATCATTTTACTTTTTATCTCACAAACATCACATCCAACCACAAAAAAACTCAACTATCTTCCCAAACACAAAAAAAAAAAATTCTCCAATAATATCTTACAACTAAAAAAAACCTACAAAAAAACCCACTTTCCAAACACCCACATAGTATATCACATGGAGTTGCTGAGAAGCAACAAATCTACATTGCAACTTTTTCCTATTAAAGACAACTCAACCAACATTAACTAGGAAACACCAATTACTTTGCAAAGAATAATTGGGACTCCTAATCCTAACAATCACATCAACCCAAACATAGACATGGACATGGACACAGTCACACACACACAGAGATAGAAAGTTTCTTTTTTGTGCATACATCATGGTTGATAAATTCAAGAGAAGTCCAAGCTTTAGCCGTTTTAATTACTAGAGAGGGAGAGAGAGAGAGTAGTCCAAGCTTTAGCTGTTTTAATTACTAAAAGAAGAAAAGCAGCGGAATTTCTAATAAAATCTAAAAAACTAAATGCATCTGAATTTCTAGAAGCAACCTTCATTTTCATCCTCAAAATCAAAATCCAAGGTGTTCCTTATGGATCTGAAGAATGTATTGACAGGACCACTGGGGACATCATCCAAGGAACCTATAGATATGCCATCGATCTGAAAGAAAATAGTCAAAAGTTAATCCAAATTACCGTTCATGTATTTTGATAATATAGTTTCTCCAATTTTTGAAAGTTTAGTTGTAAAAAATGTATAAATACAATGTCCAGGGAAAATGAAATATATATATATATATGTGTGTAACAATGACCGTATAAATACAATGTCAAGAGAAAATGAAATATATAAATATATATATGTAACAATGACCACTACTAACAACATTACAAAAAAGCATTCAAATCACCATTGATATAAGCATTACATGCAGTTTTATCTTTTATTTTTTCAATTTAACATGATAGTCTGAAATTGAATTTCATGACATAACAACATATATAACTTTCTAGCCAGTAGAGTCATCTCCAAATCCCCAACAATCCCATCTCTAACCCGCCTTATAGGCAGTATTAAGAGACAGAACCAACCACCAAAGCAATCTGTTTCTAGGCAGTTAAACACCCAACCATACCAAGGGAAAAAGCTTCTCATATCAACTGAAGTTACTGAAATACTACATTCAACCAAAATATGTAAGTCTATGAAGAATTACTTACCAAATCAAAAGCAGATTTAAAAAGCTCAGAGGCCCTGCGCTTTTCTGGCTTATCAGGAAACACCTACAAACAAATATAACTTATTAGCACTTTTCTTTTCAGCAAGTGAGAAGTACAAATATCCACATGAAAGAAAGCTGGTCCACTACTAACAACATTACAAAAAAGCATTCAAATCACCATTGATACAAGCATTACGTGCAGTTTTATTTTTTATTTTTTCAATTTAACATGATAGTCTGAAATTGAATTTCATGACATAACAACATATATAACTTTCTAGCCAGTAGAGTTATCTCCAAATCCCCAACAATCCCATCTCTAACCCGCCTTATAGGCAGTATTAAGAGACAGAACCAACCACCAAAGCAATCTGCTTCTAGGCAGTTAAACACCCAACCATACCAAGGGAAAAAGCTTCTCATATCAACTGAAGTTACTGAAATACTACATTCAACCAAAATATGTAAGTCTATGAAGAATTACTTACCAAATCAAAAGCAGATTTAAAAAGCTCAGAGGCCCTGCGCTTTTCTGGCTTATCAGGAAACACCTACAAACAAATATAACTTATTAGCACTTTTCTTTTCAGCAAGTGAGAAGTACAAATATCCACATGAAAGAAAGCTGGTCTCTTCTTACAATGCAAGCTCTTGTTTCCTTTCTTTCTTTAAGCTTCCTAGCAACAGCCAAGGCAAGTTGAATGTTGGCATCAATAAACTCATCTGAAGATCCCTTCACGTATTAGGAATTCGACAAAATCATGCATCTGGTTTAATATATTTTTGTCAACAAGCCAATGCAACATAAATGATGGGATTGCACCAACAGAAAAAGGAAATGCTAGTGAGAGGTAATGTTTGATGACCATTTTAATTCCTCAAATCAAAAGTTCTAAGGTGGGAAAAGAAACAAATTATAACAGATAATTAGCCACAGGCAAGATAGAAACATATTTGGAAGCATGTTAAAATAATCTGGCAATCCATTTAAGTCTCCATTAGAAGACTAGAAAACTAGAGAGTGAAGAGGGTACCTTGTAAGAAGAATAGCTGCTAGGCAAGGGCCTGATGAAGCAACCGAATGAAAAATGAAACAGAAAAGAAAAAGGTATCAGTGGAACAAAATGGCAACTCACATAGCAGCAGAGTATTGCAATTAAATGCCAAAAAAGAATATCCTAGAAAAAATAAATTATTAGAAGAGAACCATGAACATCAAAACTATCAAATGTGAAATATTCGTATAAAACATCATATTTTCCCACTCAAGTTGATTCCAATATTTTCCGTTGAAGAATTGCAGCATTATTTACCAAAAAAATTAAATATTTCTACAGACTACTTTTAACTTCTTTTTTGATTATCTTAAGAGTAACTTTAACTGCCAATTTATCAGGACACCAAATCTTTTACAAAAAACATATTTTTCTGGATAGGAACTCAAAAATTAAGTCAAAAAAATAAAAAATTAACAATAAAAAAATTTGTCAATGAGGTAGATAAATCAAAAGTGTAGCTGAATGCTATATATACACCAAAGATATTGAAAGAGAAGCACACTTTGCTCTTGCTCCCCAAGGTGTCAAATAACTAAAATGAGAGGCAATAATGAATGATTCTATAGCCAATTAAAGCCTACTTTTTCAACCTACAAAGTTATTATACAAATGTGGCACTGACACTTGAGAGTAAATCCGATAAGGATCAATCACAAGCCTTGCTTTTGCAAACAATGCAGCATCACTTGCCACACAAACAATCTTGGGCAACTCATGCTCTGGTCATTTGATTTGCCAAATAAATACAAAGCAACCTTCAAAATGAGACTTCTTATGCTCCTTCAGATAGGTTAAATTCAAAGCTACTGTTAGCAATTACAACTTGCGTATAATCTATAACCAGTATTAACATATGCAATCTTCAAAGTAACTATTTGGCAATTTACTTCCCTGAGCATCTACATATCAATGTGTTCGAAAAAATGCACCTCTATATATGAAAAGATTTAATTATTTAAAAAACACTGCCATGGACAATGCTTGAAACTCAATTAAAAGCTAAACTAACAAATGGGTATTAACAAAAATAAATAAATAAAATTCAATTACTGTGGATTTAAACAGACATGAATTACTTAAAAGAACACAGTCACAGGCAATGCTTGAAACTCAAATACAAGCAGAACTAACAAATGGGTATTGAGAAAAATAAATAAAAAGCCAATTTCAGTGTATTTAAATAGAGACTATTGAATAATTAACAAATGGGTATTACGAAAAATATATAAATAAAATCCAATTACTGTGACTTTAAACAGAGAAATTAAAGTTAAAGAGGAAAGAGAAGGTACGGGAAGTCGATTTCGAGACGGGTCTTTCCATCATCGAGGGCATAAGCAAGAGAAATTGCGGCATCGGTGACGAGAACTTCGTAAGATTTGGGCTTGTAAACTGAGACTCCAGTCTTGGGATCGACCTCTGGTGGTGCTCCTTTCTTACTGGCACTGCACTGAATTTGGCCATGTTTGAGTCTTGGGTTAGCTCGGTAAATGGAGGAATTGACGAGAGGGCGAGGTGTGAGGGGAGAGAAAGTAAGGGGGAGAGAGAGAGGAGGGTGAAAGAGGTTAGATTGGGAGAGAGGAGAGAGAGAAGAGAGTGTGTGAAGTGATGAGGAGGCCATGGGAATGGCCATGTGAGAGTGGTTGGTTGGTTGGTTGGTTGGTTGAGATTGGAGGGAAAGATAACTATATATAAGGAGGAGGAAGAAGAAGTGATGAGGAATTTCGGGGGATTCTATTTACAGCGAAAAACAAATTTATTTAAGTGAGTTCAATTATTTTTAGTACATTTTATTAAATAATTTTTTTTTAATTATTTGTTAAAAAAAAAATTTCACGTATATATCGGAAACACGATCAGAGATTCTGGTATCTGTGGAAGAGAACGAGGGCGACGAATATTCATTCAATTTTTCATTATTATTGTTCAAACTTTTAAAATCGAACAAAGTGAAGTTGTAAAACTTGTACACCACCGAATAAAGTGACATTATTTGGTTATGGAAGTCCAAATAATAATGACAAAAAACAAACTAAATATTGATTTTTATGTAAAAAAAATATAGAAATTAATAATTGTATTTTGATATTTATGTGAATACCCACATCTGATTTGGTGGGGAGAAAATTGTTGAAAAGTACAACCTAAGGAGGGTTTTAGGTCCAGTAGATATTTTTTATTGGTGAGAGTTTCACCCTTTGTAAAATAATTTCGTGAGAAGTTCTTTTGTTTGAATAAATTCTATTTCTACACACCTAATTAGCTCAAGGCACACATTTAATGAAATACTAATTTAATGATAAAGTGACATTATTTGGTTATGGAAGTCCAAATAATAATGACAAAAAACAAACTAAATATTGATTTTAATGTAAAAAAACATAGAAATTAATAATTGTATTTTAATATTTATGTGAATACCCACCTCTGATTTGGTGGGGAGAAAATTGTTGAAAAGTACAACCTAAGGAGGGTTTTAGGTCCAGTAGATATTTTTTATTGGTGAGAGTTTCACCCTTTGTAAAATAATTTCGTGAGAAGTTCTTTTGTTTGAATAAATTCTATTTCTACACACCTAATTAGCTCAAGGCACACATTTAATGAAATACTAATTTAATGACAATTATATTCTAAATAAAAATGACAATAATAGACATCCAACAACACTCATAATCCTATATAGAAAAATTCTCTGTACACATTTTTTAAGAACAACAAAATCTCAATATACACATTTTGAGTTTAAAAAATTAAACCCTAATTTTTTCATTGTGTAACATACCCAGGGGTACCCGCGCGCATTAAACAGTTCGGACTCTCGAGATCTCTTTGATCTAGTCTCACGAGTGTAATGTGAAACATAGATGAGAGTCCAGATTTTGCAACTTTTATTGAAAATCTATTTTATTGTAATTTTGTCAAAAATATACTGCATCATTAGATCTCAGAGTTGCCACCTAATATTTTGAGAAATTAGGAAACCTATGACTCGTGTCAAGGCCATTGTTCGTCGTAACCAAGGATACTTGACTCAGAACCTTAGGTATGAGAGGGGAAGGTCAATGATGAGCACCCCCACTCACCCGATCAAAAGATCGGCTTCTACTAAACCATGATATGAATTTTATTTTCTTTATATGTTTATGTTCTGACTATTTTAGTAAATCCTAAAATTTACTATGTGAAGCATACAAATATAGACTAGTTTGCTCAAATTGGAACAATTCAATTTCATGTTTGTTTGTCGAAAGGGGTTTGAATTTGCCACTTGACAAAGTGAGCTTAAAGTTTACGAATTTGCCACTACAAAGTGGGCTTAAAACGTACATTCGTTGAATCATTCCAATTCAAGCAACAAGCTTTCATCCACAGGCATTCAAGCAATTAGCCACATGGTAGGATGCTAAACATAATAAGAAAATTATGTACAAGCGAGATGCTAAAGCATAAAAACTCATAAATTGACCGACGTCCCTCGAACAGCTACAAAACAAAGTTAGTAAAATATGCATGATCTTATATACAGAATCCTAATGCAATTCACTCATGAGATGCAACTAAAGATTCGGCTTCTAAAACATGGCATATGAATCATCTCAAGAACATGAGGTAGCGCATAGAATCACATGAGAATTGATTAAATCCACAAATGCAAACTTAGCCGAATCAAAATGCATGAGACATAGATGCAAAGCATGGATATGCATGACATGTCAGATATATACATGTGTATAGTTAAGGAAAACGATTAAAGAATGGGATAGAAAGAAGCGGGGTGGGGGATTATTACAACACTCTAATATTACAAATCCAAATGAGGGAGAGAGGAGAGAATAATAATAAAATAAAATAAAATCTCACAAAACACTCAAAATCAAAATAAAAGTTTTAAAACCCTCGACCACTCATCAATTATCAAAGATCCATGTGTCTTCAATCCAATCCAGTCTGCCCACCAGCAAATAACCGTGGTCCCAATAACCCACTTGCAACTCATCAGCACATATTATGATATATACAGATCTAGCCCATGTACTCATGCTATGCATCTTCAATGGAGGGCCCCACCCTCTTATGTGAACCTGTACTTTGCCACCCCGAGAGAGAGGGGGAGAGAGAAAGTGCTTGTTTTGAGCCAACGTCATCCCCCCATGTGTGTGCATCTGTGTGTGTGATAGCCAAAATAAGGAGCCTCTCTTCTCGTCACATTTTTCGCTCACTCACTCTCCCTTTTGAAACTGCTCTCTCCCAAGAGCCAAACCCAAACTTCTCTCTATTATTTCCAAAAACCGAGAGAGAGAGATCTAGAGAAAGATCAACAACCCCTCAGCCCCTTGTGTGTGCGTTGTGTTGGGTGTGTGGAGTGTGTGTCCTTTCTCTCTCTAAACTGTGTGTCTGTGTTGTGTGTTTGCTAGGTCTGTCATGTAGTGGTTATGCTGGGTGTATGTCTGTGTGCATGGGTGTGCCTTTGTGTGTTGCGTGCGTGTGTCTATCAGTGTGTATGTGGGCTGTGTCTATGGAGAGAACCGAGAGGGAGAGGGAGCTCAGTCTGTGTGTGAGAGCTGGTGTGTGTTTGTGAATGATCAATGTCTATGTCGTGAGTCAGTGTGTTCTCTCTTTTGAAACTGCTCTCTCCCGAGAGCCAAACCCAAACTTCTCTCTATTATTTCCAAAAACCGAGAGAGAGAGAGATCTAGAGAAAGATCAACAACCCCTCAGCCCCCTGTGTGTGTGTTGTGTTGGGTGTGTGGAGTGTGTGTCCTTTCTCTCTCTAAACTGTGTGTCTGTGTTGTGTGTTTGCTAGGTCTGTCATGTAGTGGTTATGCTGGGTGTATGTCTGTGTGCATGGGTGTGCCTTTGTGTGTTGCGTGCGTGTGTCTATCAGTGTGTATGTGGGCTGTGTCTATGGAGAGAACCGAGAGGGAGAGGGAGCTCAGTCTGTGTGTGAGAGCTGGTGTGTGTTTGTGAATGATCAATGTCTATGTCGTGAGTCAGTGTGTTATAGAGAGAGAAGAGAAAGAGCCAATGCATGTGTTGTCCATAGAGAGAGCCAAGAGGGAGCTCATGGCCGTGGGTGTATGCATCTGCTGGGTGTCCTTCTTGGGTGTGTGTATCTCCCTTTGTTTTGAGTCTTCCCCCTGTGTGTATCGGTGTGTTATCTCAATTGTAGAGAGAGATCAGAGAACCAGATGCCTGTGTGAATCTCTGGGTGTGTAGTGTCTGTGTGTATGATCAGTCTCTCCCGTGTCTGGATGGCAGTGGTGTGCATGGTGTGTCCTAGAGAGAGAAGAGAGAGAGCTAGTGCATGTGTTTTTGTGTGTCTTGCTGCCGTGTGTGCATGTGTATGCGTGTGATCGGAGAGAGAGAGATCACAGTGGGAGTGTGTGCTGTGTTGATTACTGAGTGTCTCTCAAAATGAGTGTGTGTATATGCTGTGCATGGAGTGAGTGAAACATGGATGCATGTGTGTGGGTTGTGTGTGGATCAATATGTGATGCTTCTGCTAACCCCGAATCAAAACAACGAGAGAGAGAATTTATGCCTGTGTGTATGGGTCTACCGTGTGTGTGTGGAAGAGAGTGGCAACGTGTATGGTGTGGGGTGTATCACAGTGTGTGTTTGCAGATGAAACTTCCCTCCCTCTCAATCTCTCTCTAGAAAATTCTCTCTCAAAAAATCACTCCTCCCCCCTTTTTCATGAACACCACTCTCCTTCATTTGAATACCCAGAGAGAGCCTCTGTCCTCTCCCTTTTCAGCCTCAACTCTCTCTTATTTCTCTAACCCCGAGAGAGAGAAAATAGTGCATTCATCAGTGTCTCCGTGAATCATTGAAGAGAGTGAGGTGTTTGTTGTGTGTGTCTCCTCTCTACCCACTCTCACTTGCCCTGCTCTTTTTTCAATTTTCTCTACCACTTTTTAAACCCACTTCACCGAATTGAGCCCCACTCCACCGAATTATTTTCCATCCAAAACTTATCATCACGATGTCCGCTCTACTCCCCTTTGAATCCAGCAAAATCCAGCAAAAACAAAATCATTTTCCATCCCAAAACCCATTATCCTCATCTAACCCTCTCTTTTTCTTTTCTTTATTTTCTTTTTCATTTTTTTATTTTTTTGTTTGTTTTTTTATTATTTTATATAAAAACACCTAAAAATATGTACACACACATAAAATTAGATAAAAATTATAAAATACTACAAATTGATAAAATATTAGTGATATAAAATAACTTGACCAAAATAGGTGAGGTTTGAGATTCCACTTTTCAAACCCACTTCACCGAATTGAGCCCCACTCCACAGAATTATTTTCCACCTAAAACTTATCATCACGATGTCCACTCTGTTCCCCTTTGAATCCAGCAAAATCCAGCAAAAACAAAATCATTTTCCATCCCAAAACCCATTATCCTCATCTAACCCTCTCTTTTTCTTTTCTTTATTTTCTTTTTCATTTTTTTATTTTTTTGTTTGTTTTTTTATTATTTTATATAAAAATACCTAAAAATATGTACACACACATAAAATTAGATAAAAATTATAAAATACTACAAATTGATAAAATATTAGTGATATAAAATAACTTGACCAAAATAGGTGAGGTTTGAGATTAAAGCTTCAATTTGATTTTTCGGCTGAGAAATTCATAAAATGACATATTCCAATTTTTATCAATGGCTGGTCAAAAGAAAGTGTCTAAGTCTTAAGGCCGGTCAAAATGGGGTGTCTACACATTGTTGTCACTTTATTTGTTACACACTCTATATTCCTTTATTGCTTTTGCAAGTAATACTCTCAAAACATCTCTCATATTGCTTTAATCTCTAGGTTATACTATATTATTTAGATAGTTTTCTTATTAGTTCTTCAATTTTTACTTGATTTTGATATGGAAGAGTTGCAAACCAATGGAAGTTCAAACTCATGCAAAAATATGTCCGGTAACAGCAAAATCAGTGATGAAAAGGTTAATTTTTTTCGCGTATTTTTTATTTTTTTATTTTTTTTTCATTTTTCAATCGAATAGTTAGTGCCGAATTTTGTCAATATATTCGGAAATCAACTTCCAAAATATTTCGATACTTAAAATACGAGAATTGTACATTAATTCGATAGTCAAGTTCCAAATTGTTTTATATTTTTCGATACTTAGATTTTGAATTTTTTACTTTCTTTCGGTATTAAAGTGCCGAACTTGTTTATTATTTTCAGTTTTGTAGTGCCGAATTTTATTATTATTTCCAGCTTTGTACAACCGAATGAAAAATGTTTTTTCCCCCTCTTCAGATGGCATGCTCTGAAAAAACTGAGGTTCGATTGGATATTATGGTGGATTGTACAAGTCATTTTATAGCTAAACAGGTAACATTTAACATGAAAGTTGTAAATTCATAATTTTTATTAATTAGTTTGTTTAGTTTGTTCTTATGAAAGTTGTGTGACATTATATACAGGTTTTCGACAACAAAGATGAATTGCTCACTTGGATACGTGATATTGGAAGGACAAATGGCTTTGTTATTATTATAAGGACATCGGACTATGGTGGTGGTCGCAAGAGACGAAGAATTTATGTTGCTTATGAGTGGAGAAAGAATTATAGATTGTGTAAGAAGTTGAAAGATAGCTCGAAAGGCTTACTGAAACAAACTGGAACGAAGAAGTGTGAATGTCCATTTGATTTGAGGGTATACAAGTTGAAAACAAACGATGAATGGACATTAAATGTAGTTTGCGGACTGCATAATCATCCAGCTATGGAGCATCTCCAAGGACATTCATATGTAAGGAGATTATCAACTAATGAAAAGTCACTGTTAGTAAATATGTCAAAAAGCTTATTAAGACCACAAGAGAGACTCATTACACTCAAATAGAGGGATGCCCTTAATATGAGCATAATGAAGACAATTTACAATGAAGACAATTTACAATGTACGACATTGATGTAGGATTTTATAGAAAGCTAGTAGATCCCAAATGCAACAACGGCTGGGTGAATTAGCGAAACATAAGTACATTGAGTATCATTAATGTGAGGAAGGCTCTATGATTGTCACAGACTTGTTTTGGGCACATCCAGTGAGTTTGGATTGGCTTCGTACATTCCCTCGTGTATTGATTATGGATTGCACATATAAGACGAATAGATATCGGCTTCTTCTTCTTGAAATTGTGGGAGTGACATCAACTCATATGACATTCTTCATGGCTTTTGCATACTTGCAAATTGAGCGGGTTGATAATTATGCATAGGTGTTACAAACATTGCGTGATCTTATGGACAACAGTGTTTTACCTAAAGTCATTGTCAGAGACAGAGAGCTTGCTTTAATCAATACCATTGACAACACCTTTCTGAATGTTCGACATTTGTTATGTCGTTGGCATATTTATAAGAATGCATTGGCGAAATGCAAGAAAATGTTTGAGAGAAAAGAAAAATGTGAGAAGTTTAACACTGTATAGAACTATTAGGTATTGTCTTCAACTGATGTGGAATACAATGATCATCTTGCAATACTGCGTAAGGATTTCAGTAACTATTTGGAGGCAATCAAGTATGTTACTGTAAGTTGGTTGAATCCGTATAAAGAAAAATTCATTGCGGTACATACAAACATGTGTATGTATTTTGACAATGTTACAACCAATCAGTAATATTTTTTTTTTGTAATTTCTTATAAATCATATTGTTATTTTTAATTATTATAATTGACTATTTTTGTTTACATCCATATGAACAAGGTTAAGAGTGCTCATGCTAGATTGAAAAGGCAACTAGGTTCAAGTTAAACGACATTTGGGATTTCATTTGAAAAAAATACATTGTCTACTTGAGTTGCAGCATATTCAAGTAAAAGCATCATTCGAGAAGAGTTTGACTGTTGTGCAACATCAATTCAAACCTTCTCAATTCAGAGAGCTTCGAGATAATGTGTCTATTTGTGCATTGGAGTACGTGTTGGCGGAGAGTAAGAGAGCAAATTCAGTTGGAATTGATGTTGTAGCATGTGGGTGTGTTCTTAAGCGCATGTATGGTTTACCTTCTGCTCACGAGATTGCAGATTACATGAGACAAGGCCATCATATTCCACTCAGTAGCATACATGTACATTGGAGACGACTTACTATATATGTGCATAATCTGAAGGTTGAGAAATTGGAATTGACTTGTATCCCAGAACTTGAGATGATTTTAAAGCGGTTCAATGAGTCTGATATTGCCACACAATTGGATATGTTGAAGAAGTTGAGAAAAATTGCAAATCCAGCAAGCACTTTTCTTATTGAGCCTGATGTGAAGCCTAATCCACGTCGAGGACATAAGAAAACTGATATATCTTGTTGTCATGACCCGTGTGTATTTGAGTTGGTTAACAATGGCCATGATAGCTAGAGCACATTAGCTTCCAATCAGTCAAAGAAAAAGAGAGCTTCGAAAGTGCATGAGAAGAAGCAGAATGTAAAGACAAAGACATATCGTACAAGAACAAGTTTACCGTGTGCATATGTTGCTGACTTCCCACCTATGTTAAAACCATTCATAAAGTTGATGAAGGATGTAGATTGTGATGGGAATTGTGGTTTTAGAGCTATTGCAGGTTTACTTGGTCTTGGAGAGGATGACTGGGTGCAAGTTAGGTGTGATCTACTACTTGAATTGAGTAATCACATAGATGAATATGTCATACTATACGGGTCGCATGAGAGGGTTGAGGAGCTGACACACATCCTTTCATATTTTCAAGATAGCCTAGGCTTTGATCGTTGGATGACTATGCCCGACATGGGGCATCTTATTGCATCATTTTATAATATAGTTTTGTATCACTTGTCATTACAACAATGTCTCATGTTCTTACATTTGAGATCACCACCAGTAGCCCCAGCTGATCATCGTGAGATTGCAATTGAATTTGTGAATGGAAATCATTTTATGCAAGTATAACTTATGAAAATAACCTAACATGGTTGTTTAATATATGTGTAATTGCAAATTTGATGGATTTGGTAAAGATACATAATTTTTTTGGATGTACGTGCAGGTATTTTTGGAGGCGGTCATCCAGTTCCTCCCATTGCTGTGCTTTGGCGAGTTCACCATCACCCTTGTGCATCAGAATAAGAGAATGCATATGTTAGTCGCATTAAAAAAATTCAAAGACAACATAAGACCTAATGTAGCTACTCGAGAGACATTTGATGTAGTTGACAAAGATTGATATATTAGAGAGCAGTCATGAAAGGTTTAAGACATTAAGTTTTATGATTTACTAGCATGGAGTAACGAGATGGATATCATTTTGCCATTGAATTTTGTAATGGTCATTTTTTTAATAGAATATCATATAAGTTATAGTTCTCTTATTTATGGAATGGATGTCATATTATTTTTATATTGTCTAAACACAAAACATAATGAAAATACTATTAACCAAGTGCAACTACAGTTAAAGATTATTCATATTAAATAACAAGTATCTAAGAAAAAATAATAATATTAACTAGTAGTTCAATCCATCCACATCATCACAAAATACATGTATTCTTGTACATAATCCAAAGATAATAATAATATTTGTCTCCTTATACATCCACCAACACCATCACAAACTACTTGTGCTAACATTATGAACTACTATCAACTACATGATCGGCAAGTGTAATTTGCTCAAAAACGATATGCAGTAGAAGAGCTGGGTGCAGACTGACCCTGAACGGATGTGCTGGGCGCAGCTTTAATAATGTGCTAATCTTGAAGAAGCTGTTTAATTGCATCAATTGCGTAGTAAATGCCTATCAAGATGTTGAACACGGTCCTCATAGCCAGCCTCAATGAAATGATGAGTAATTTGATATATTTGTGACATACGCTGCATTACGAGAACGAATACAACATTATATATAAACCTATAACTATTTACATAAATAATTTGTAATGTAAATGAAAAAAAAGGATACCCGTGCGTCTTGGCTAGGATACTGATGATGATAAATATTCGGGTCCACCTGAGAACGACTCGCTGGGTTTTGAACATACATATGAGTAATAGTTTGGTACCAATCTATGTAACCAGGAACACAATCCCAAGGTTTCCGTACCGGTGTACTCCTCCTCTGATCAGATAACACATGGTTGCCCCATGTCTCCCAAATGATGTCCAAGTATGCATATATAACATTGTAGCATGGAGCTGTGGCTCCTCGAGAAGCATGCATAGAGCCAAGTGGTGGATTAGGAATTGTTTGCACTTTACCAAACTGTTTCAAAACTCTATTAGAGTGATATGGTTCAATTACTTTCATACACTTTAGGAAACCGTAGTATAACGTAACTGGGTGACACGGATGAACATCTCTGCAACTCTGGTACGGGTCCCAAATAACCTACAAACAATAACAACTATAAGATATGACAGTTGTAAATTTTCTATGAAATAGAGTTTCAAAATTTGAAGGACTTTTTAACTTATATCATGTACACCCAACCTATCAAGCTCCTCTCGAAAAGCCTACAACTGTGTCTCTTCACCAAACTCTCTCCGAGAAATCCAACGGTAAACATGTGGCATGTCTTGAGTGTAATTCATATTCAAGTGTGGTCGAAATCTACGAAAGTGCTCATAAAGTCATCTCTCAATGAGTGTCATGTAACCAACTATTTGTTTCACACCGAACCTATTAGCGTATCCCAACTGTCTATATAAGTATGCCAATACAGCAGCACCCCAAGCATATGAAGATACGGTCGTCAAATCGAACAACAAACTCAAATAAACAACGAAAACCCTAGTACTAGTCTTGTCAATGAAAAGTGTACAATCTCTCCGAGAAGTCCAACGGTAAACATGTGGCATGTCTTGAGTGTAATTCATATTCAAGTGTGGTCGAAATCCACGAAAGTGCTCATAAAGTCATCTCTCAATGAGTGTCATGTAACCAACTATTTGTTTCACACCGAACCTGTTAGCGTATCCCAACTGTCTATATAAGTATGCCAATACAGCAGCACCCCAAGCATATGAAGATACGGTCGTCAAATCGAACAACAAACTCAAATAAACAACGAAAACCCTAGTACTAGTCTTGTCAATGAAAAGTGTACAACCCAACAAAAATAGCAAGTATGCTCTACCTACACATGCAATTCTTTCCATTGAATTATTGTTTGTGACTAGGGGTGTGCGCGGTGCGGTTCGGGCGGTTTGAGAGTAAAATTACAAACCAAATGGCGGATTGGCAAATTAGCGGATTGACAAATTGTGGTTTGGACAGTTTTTGGCGGATTGACAGATTGAAGAATATTCTAACTAATTATCATATATTTACATAATATATAACACTAATTTGTATAATATGTTTTATATATATAACACAAAGTAATTTTACATAATATATTTTATAGATATAACTACTAATTTGTAATAATTTCATATCTTAAATCTCTCTCACAATCATTTTTACATTGATATTTCATTGGAGATTAAAAATATATATATATATATATATGTGTGTGTGTGTGTGTGTGTGTGTGTGTGTGTATTAACTATAGCGGAGCGGAACGGTTTGGAAGACGGATTATAAATTTTAAAGTTTAAACCGCGGTTAGCAGTTAGAGCGGTACGGATTGATGCCGATTAGTGTAGTTTTAGCAAATTAAGCGGTATTTTGTACAACCCTATCTATGACATTATGAAAGTGTGCCCTCAACCACTGAAGCCTCACTGAATTTCCTCCAGCACTAGACATCTCATGTCTAACCTCTTGCTCATCAATTTCGAAGGTATTAACTACTAATGTAATGGCCCGCCTTTCTGACAACTTACGCACACTAATAGATTTGACTATAATGGGAAGCCCTAGGATAGTGGCGACATCGCCTAATGTGATAGTCATCTCTTCAACAGTCAAATGGAAGGTGTTTGTCTCCGATTGTCACCTCTCAACAAAACTAGACACTACAATTTGTTAACAAAGTGGTACATGTAACGCCCCAAAAATTGGGTAGGGTATATCTATTTATGCTACAAAATCCACCTGATAGACAAACACATATGCATAGCTAACTATTCTATACATCCATTTCCATTAAATCCCAAATGTCAAATACATGCTATTCACATCTCAATGCCCCAGTTCCAATCCCAAGCATACATTTTACAACAAGTATGAAATGGAAGCCAACCAGATAATAAGTGCCCTACATGCTTACAAATTCATCCAAGAACATTCTTGGTTACACAAAATGGAGTTTCAACTCAACGCAAATACAGTCCTAGGCTTATATTCAACAAATAACGATAAAACAAAAATAAAGCCTCAGCTTTGAGTCCTCCCAAGTCAATGCCTTGGCGGAGGCATAGTACCTGTACCTAAAATGGTTTCCCTTATAGGGTGAGTCACAGCGCAGTAGAGATATACTACACAACATATGAACCATGACAATACTAAAGAGGAGTATGCTCATGCGATGCTCATGATAAAATAATTTATCTCTCTTTTTGCAAAGCATGCAATGCTAAGATGCAACAACAGATATAAAACCATTTCCATTTCAAACTATATATGTTACATAAATACAGGCTCTGTGAATCTGTAGGTGAGTATCTGCAAGTAGGCCCTAATGTACTACCACTGTCATTTTTACCAGTAAACTGGAAGGATCGACACCTAACCGCACGGTTCTACACCCCTACCCAAATTCATCAAGTATTCATCTTTTCGCAAACAGATATATTTTCAAACATTTCTCAATGAACAGATACATTTCCAATGAAATGAATGTAATGCAATGTCCAATGCAACAAATGAGGAATGTGGTTCAATTTACCTAAGTCTCATGCATTTCTACAACAATTATGGCTATTCTCCACCGATAATCCAAAACAGATATTTCTAAATAGATATTTAAACAATTAAATTTCAAAAATTTTGATAAATACAATCTATTCCACATCTCATCAAATATGAACAACTACACTAGTTTTCATATCACAATCACGTCTGGTAACCTCTCAAGGTCTATTTCTAACCGTGTCGGTTTTATTCCAATAGACACATTAAGCAAAATAATACCGTTAATGCCCAAGAAAACATCATTTTCTTTCCAAACTCATTCTCCATGCATTATTCAACTATGACATCCTATTTTGATCAAAAACCCCAAAACTTAAACATAATTCCTTTATTTTCTTTAAAAATGCTCTTTTGGTCGCAAACTGGTAAAAATTTCAAAACCGATCGAGTCGAAGTCTATTTTTGTTCAAATTTAAAACATAACTCTTTCATAACCTTGCAAACATATTCCAAGTTTACACTTTCACAATTTGGGCATCAACTTTTTATTTTTCTCAAAATTCCCCTTTTAAGCAAATAAATCACAAATTTTTCAAAAATTCTAATTAAATTATATACAACTCTAAGCTCTATATAATCAAGTAAAAGTACATAAAGAAGTGTAAGAAAAATCCCTACCTCAAGCCAAGAAGGTTTCAAATTTTTCGGCAATAGAAATTAAATTTTTTTTGGAGCCAAACGAGGCCTTTTCCGCCCTCTACGTTTTGATCCAAAGCACTAGGGGTCAGAAATGACTTACACTAGATCAAATCCAAGAAAAACCAACTTGGAACCTCTTTTCTCTTGTTTCCTCAGGGCAAGAACTCCAAGAATTCCCAAAAGTTGAACAAAATATCTATTTTGTTACTATTTATAGATATTTCATTTTTTTCTTTTTTTTGTTTTAACAAAACAAATATCTAACCATATATATATATATATCAATTAAAAATACATTTCAACATCTTTAATGACAAAACTAAATATAATATTTTCTCACCACAAAATATATTTCATTTAATGGTACACACCATAAATATTCACAACTCTTTTATGGTAGTCAAATAATAATAATAAAACCACAACACTATTACATGGTTATTAACGGGTCACAATTCAATCAATTGGGTCCAAAATGAATGGAGTTTAATAATTTAAAATAAATCCCCAACTGATTTATCTCAAATCATGGTTCGAACACCAAAAACTCAATTTTAAATTCTGCTATAAATTAAACTGAACACCAATCAGTCCGTAAATTTTCATAAAATAAATACTCATCATTAAATTCTGAAATTTTTATCCAACGTCCTAGACGCATATGGGAACAACATATAAAAATTTCATAATTTTCTGAGGTCGGAAACTATTTTTAAAAAATACAAAA